GTGCCCACTGTAGTATAACGACATGAAATTATGTGACTATTATGTTTTATAGACATTACATCATGTACCTAGTATGTTGTATACACTAGATATTATGTGACGTATATGTTATATAGACATGGAATTATGTGACCTGTATGTTATATAGACATGACATTATGTGACTAGTATGTTATATAGAGATGACATTACGTGACCACTATGTTATATACATATGACATTATGTGACCAGTTTGTTATATACACATGATATTATGTGACCAGTATGTTATATAGAGATGACATTACGTTTCCACTAAATTATATACATATGACATTATGTGACCAGTTTGTTATATACACTTGATATTATGTGACCAATGTGTTATACAGATATAACTTAATGTCACCAATATCTTTTAGAGACATATTAAATGGACAGTATTTTGTAAATGCTATCACATTATGTGACCTGTATGTTATATAGACATGGCATTATGTAACCAGTATGTTATATAGACGTGACATGAAATTATATTATGTGACAAATATGTTATATATGAAGTGACATGACATGACATTATGTGACCAGTTTGTTATACAGACATGACATTATGTAACCAGTATGTTATACAGACATGGCATTATGTGACCTGTATGTTATATAGACATGACATTACGTGACCACTATGTTATATAGACATGGCATTACGTGACCACTATGTTATATAGACATGACATTACGTGACCAGTTGGTTATATACACATGACACTATGAGACCAGTATGTTATATATACATGACATTGTGTGACCAGTATGTTATATAGACATGACATTATGAGATCAGTATGTTATATAGACATTACATTATGTGACCAGTTGGTTATATACACATGACACTGTGAGACCAGTATGTTATATAGACATGACATTGTATGACCAGTATGTTATATAGACATGACATTATGAGATCAGTATGTTATATAGACATTACATTATGTGACCAGTTGGTTATATACACATGACACTATGAGACCAGTTTGTTATATAGACATGACATTATGAGATCAGTATGTTATACAGACATGATATTATGTGACCAATGTGTTATGCAGATATGATATAATGTGACCAATATCTTTTAGAGACATATTAAATGGACAGTATTTTGTAAATGATATGACATTATGTGACCCGTATGTTGTATAGACATGACATCACGTGACCATTATGTTGTATAGACATGACATTCTGACCCTGAGCATTTGATCGACCATCAAGCGGAAACAGGATAATGGTTATCGAACTAGGTTATCCTTATGAATTTTCAGTTTATCTACAGAATTCACAGCCAACGCCTATAATTCCGTGACATGCTATATACCTAGCAAAGTTCGCGGCTCGACAGAGTGAAGCAAAACCAGAAAGTGACGGTGCTGATCACACCTTGTTATACTTATATCTATACTTACGTTCATTACTATTGTTATCACGTGTACAGGGTACAATGTATATTGCATTATACGATAATATATAATTGATAAACAAAAGGTTGGTATTTTATTGTTGAAAATTAAAATGTTAGGTAACGAGAACGAGATAGAGTGTAGGATGGACGTTCTGAAAATGACGTATCTCTAGTTGTTTCATAGCCATTAATGATAATGCAAAATATTAAAGCTTTATTATTTATTGTGAAACTTGCCGATGAAAAGGAAAAATTGACGTACAAATATTCGTTTTTGTGGTTATAAAATACTAGATTTTGTGTTTAATCAAAAACACATGTATGACATTGTTAACAAACAGCATTTATGGTTACATGGCTTGGTAACAATACATTTATTTTATATACGAGGCAACACTAAGCACATAAATGCCATAGATATAACATACATCATTTATATAATGGACAATGATATAATATATCATCATAGATACGTATATATATATTATATATAGAATGGATATATTAGACATTAAAACATTAAGCAACATTTACTGATGATTGGCTTTAAAGTTATCAAAATTTGATTCCGACATTTATCAAACACATTGATACACCGGCTCGTGACAGGAGGAAATTTCATAATTCATATTTGTTGTGAATTTCTTCTGTCTTTACATTCGATTTATACAAATTTGAAGCACATCACATCAAAGGTTATCAGTAGCCTTCAATTTCTATAAGTATAAAATATCATTATTCTCCTATAGTACCAAAATAAAAGCACCCAACCCTACCCAACATGTATACCTTCATACCTATACCCTCAACATGTATACCCTCATACGTATGCCCTCAACATATATACCTTAAAACGTATACCCTCAACATATATACCCTCATAACTATACCCTCAACATGTATACCATCATACGTATACCCTCAACATATATACCATCATACGTATACCCTCAACATATATACCATATACATATATACCATCAACATACCCTATATATACCATCATACGTATACCCTCAACATATATACCATCATACGTATACCCTCAACATATATACCATCATACGTATACCCTCAACATATATACCATCATACGTATACCCTCAACATATATACCATCATACGTATACCCTCAACATATATACCATCATACGTATACCCTCAACATATATACCCTCATACGTATACCCTCAACATATATACCATCATACGTATACCCTCAACATATATACCATCATACGTATACCCTCAACATGTATACCATCATACGTATACCCTCAACATATATACCATCATACGTATACCCTCAACATATATACCATCATACGTATACCCTCAACATATATACCATCATACGTATACCCTCAACATATATACCATCATACGTATACCCTCAACATATATACCATCATACGTATACCCTCAACATATATACCATCATACCCTCATACCCTCAACATATATACCATCATACCTAAACCCTCAACATATATACCATCATACGTATACCCTCAACATATATACCATCATACCCCCTCAACATATATACCATATATACGTATACCCTCAACATATATACCATCATACGTATACCCTCAACATATATACCATCATACGTATACCCTCAACATATATACCATCATATACATATATACCATCATACATATATATACCATCATACGTATACCCTATACCCTACATATATACCCTCATACATATATACCATCATACGTATACCCTCAACATATATACCGTCATACGTATACCCTCAACATATATACCATCATACGTATACCCTCAACATATATACCCTCATACGTATACCCTCAACATATATACCCTCATACGTAAACCATCAACATATATACCATCATACGTATACCCTCAACATGTATACCCTCATACGTATACCCTCAACATATATACCATCATACGTATACCCTCAACATATATACCATCATACGTATACCCTCAACATATATACCATCATACGTATACCCTCAACATATATACCATCATACGTATACCCTCAACATATATACCCTCATACGTAAACCATCAACATATATACCATCATACGTATACCCTCAACATATATACCCTCAACATATATACCATCATACGTATACCCTCAACATATATACCATCATACGTATACCCTCAACATATATACCCTCATACGTATACCCTCAACATATATACCCTCATACGTATACCCTCAACATATATACCATCATACGTATACCCTCAACATATATACCATCATACGTATACCCTCAACATATATACCATCATACGTATACCCTCAACATATATACCATCATACGTATACCCTCAACATATATACCATCATACGTATACCCTCAACATATATACCATCATACGTATACCCTCAACATATATACCATCATACGTATACCCTCAACATGTATACCCTCATACGTATACCCTCAACATATATACCATAATACGTATACCCTCAACATATATACCCTCATACGTATACCCTCATACCCTCAACATATATACCATCATACGTATACCCTCAACATATATACACATATATACCATCATATATACCCTCATACGTATACCCTATATACAACATATATACCATCATACGTATACCCTCAACATATATACCCTCATACGTATACCCTCAACATATATACCATCATACGTATACCCTCAACATATATACCATCATACGTATACCCTCAACATGTATACCCTCATACGTATACCCTCAACATGTATACCATCATACGTATACCCTCAACATATATACCCTCATACGTATACCCTCAACATATATACCATCATACGTATACCCTCAACATGTATACCATCATACCTATACCCTCAACATATATACTCTCATACGTATACCCTCAACATGTATACCCTCATACGTAAACCCTTACATCATAAACACCTACCCATAAAACGCATTGTTTTCGTGAGTTTAGTAAGCACAGTAACTCAGCTGTATTTCAGATTCTGCATGATCCATAATAAAGTCCAGCCTTATTAAGATATCACTATCAGATTTAATCGATAACTTTGTTTGTAAGGCAGGTTGTATCGGTGTGGTTACCATGGCGATACTTCAGAGCTAAAAACGACGGTTGTGTTTACAATCGAGTTTTCTTCTTTAACGAACATGCTGGAATGTTTATAACACATTGACTGTCCATTGTAATCACTGTTTTATTATTAATACAACAGAAAATTGTTTTCAGTGCTGTGAAACAACGTCTTGCTGCTAAGAAATGAACATTAAAGGGAATGTCATTCATTCATTCTTCGGCATATTGTGTATCTATTGTTAAGTTCATACGAAAAATGTTATTTATTTATGTGTGATATGGCAAACTCTGCAGCAGGGGGGAGGGGGTGTAATTTGTTCTAACCACACGAGTCAGGAATAAGAGTATGTGATCAAAATGTACACTCTTGTCTTCTCCTTTCTGAAGTTATCAAAACAATTCCAAATATGTCGAATTGCTCAATGTTCTTTTCAAAATGATATTTTGTGTATTTTTACAGACGATGACGATTGAGTCGCAGAAGAGACGTCATCGACGAGCAATCAGCGAAGGAGGCCATGATGCAAGAATGAGGATGAACTGTCGGAAACACAGACGGCCTCTCAGCATTCCCTTACAGCAGTTTGACTCTATAGGTACAGAGTGTGTAGCAAACTGCATCAGTATACCAAGAGTAGGAAATGTGTTAAATGTCATCGACGCAAAATTAAGTTATATGATAAAAAAATGACATACTGATAGACTTAATTATTCTCATAGAATCCTTGGTAATATATTTGATATCCCACTTTCAAAACCATATCACGCAGACGAAATTTTCTCAACAAATGTTCTTCGGTAGCAAATTAAAAATCATGCAAATATTACATACATCTTACAGTTAGTAACACTTTTAAGCACTAAAGCTAACGTCACCGCACTATAATAATGATATTCGTGAAAATTGTGATAGATATTTAACATTAGATGCTATTTCATCATGGATATATATGTATGTAGCCTTGATGTTGATATTCGTTCAGTCCTCAATGATGATGGAAGTATATTGGATGAGTTACGACCAAGCGCCTCCCAGACATCCATGGCGGCAGATCTCGGGGATGTTGCTACGGACGACTCCTTTCAACGGGAGGTAGGTTCTTGAAGAAGTACGAGATATGTCACCATTCTCTCTCTCAATTTAAATGAAGGTATCTCAACTGTTTGATAACGTTGATTTGACTGTATGTCTTACGCAGAGTAAAGAAACATCTGTTCAGTAGTTTACAGTTTCAATCGAATTCCTATCCTATAAAATATAAAGAAAAATATGTGTCTCTAAAGACAGTCTACTTTTTGTCCTATTATAAATATGAACTTGCCTATACGCTTCCATTCATGAAGGTTGCAGAGAAGACCAAACTATTTTTCATTGGAAAACAGGAAGCGGAAATAGAGGTGTTCATAGATAGGATTATAGCGCGTGAAGGCAACAAAGATAGAGCTTTACTACATGTGGTGTCAACCATTGAAAATGAACCAAGAGTGAGTACCACAAACATGATATATAAAGGTCTGATGTTTAATTCCGAGGCGGTGTAAATTTCGAAAATGTATTTTTTTTATTAATTATTTATTTTTTATCTTATTTTCATAATTTGCGTATATCTGTAAATATCAATAATGTCTCTGTCTTGATTTTGACTTTTTTTTCGATCGCTTCGGATGTGCCTCAGTCACCTAACAAGTATTGATATCTAGGCCTTTTGCATCACTGAGAAGTCTTGGAGGGAGGAAACAGCTGTATAACACAGTTAAATTCATTATTTGGATTTACAGTATCTAATGATAAATTTGAATGAAAATGTGCTATTCTCTTGCTATTTTTCATTTGTTTGTTTTTGTTTACAATCTTATAGGTACAGATGCTAGTCAACACCCTTCTCCATAGAGGAGCCAACCCTTCCGCCAGCGACCAACACCTTCGGACACCCTTACACTACGCCGTGGAGAAGAACTTCAAGGGTGTGTGTACAAAACTGCTGGAGCATGACGCGTGGCCGAATGCACGAGACCATGACAATATCATGCCGTATACGATAGCTTATGAGAACGGTAACGACGAGGTGGCATCTTTGTTGATACTGTACATGCCTAATAGCGAGTGAGTAAACCGTATGTAAACCTTTTATCTGAGAGTATCAACCACGTATTGATTCTGATACCAATTTCATTTTTAAAAAAAAACCGATATCGATACGCAATAACACATTGAAAAATACTTATTTTTTAATTAAATCAATAATATTTGAAAATTATCATTGAATTATATGGATGTGTACCATAGAAAGACAATAACAAGACATCTCGTTTGGTTCAAATATCATTTTTATTTACCCTTCGTTGTGCGATAACGCACGATTGTCGTTCAGTTTGTAGACAGGAAATCATTATAAAACGTTTCACATCGCAGCTATAAAAATGCAGTGTGTGTGAGGTCATAAGTGTTTTCTACTTAGATTTAACAAATACAGTTAGAGATCATTTACTGTTCTCAAGCAATTCCAAATCACTATGTCGATAAACTCCACGTTTATACTACTTAATGATGACACAATGCTATGATTTAATTGACATATTAGTATCTATTGTCGATGAAATCAGCAGCAGAACAATGGAAAATATGGCTTATGGAAATTAAATTCACTGTGTATTAGATATCGTTTTTCAAAGCACCATTCATTGTTTGTTACTGTCTTCAGAGTGAGGCAGTTATATACCAGTGATGGACACAAGATATCGGAGTTCAGTTTTCACACGCTTTTACAGAAAAACATGCAGGTAAAATTATCCTGATTACCTTAAAATGGGAAACGTCAACTACAGAAATGTAGTGTATGTGATATCAAAAACCAAACAATTCTTATTAAGTAATTTTACCTGGTAATAGAACACAATAAGATACTAATTATATCATTAGATAAAAATATATATACTAATTATCAATATGTATTATACGTCCCTGGTAATATATATACTAATTCTATAATTTTTCCACAGAAAACAGTTTTATCGGTATTAGATTGTATGATTGACCGTCGAAGTCCAAGCGGTCACCTGCGCGTGTACTATCAGGTGCTGGATGGGGACGAGGAGGGTAGGTCACCTCTACAGGAAGGTTTTAACAGAAATTCTAAGTCACCACTCCAAATTCTAGCCAAGGGAGGTAATAAGGTAAGACGTTTCCTTCGTGTTTGTGATTTATCGTCTGTAGATTTCATGTTTTTAATTGTCAATCACTCATCAATAGAAATGTCGTTACTTTCATAATTTACATGATAAGACGTGATTTTCCTTTTTTTCAGAATATTGTCTACCACGACGTGGTCCGTCTTCTTATCCGGCGAAAGTGGAAAGAATATGCTAGGTTACGCTTCGAGTAAGTTTACATCAAGTATGAATCGTACAATTTTCTGATTTGTCATTTGTTAATAGCCCGGGGATCGTATTCTTTATTGTAAACGAATGAATATACGGCTGCTGAAGAGCTACACCTGTAAGCAGAATAGATTGTCGTTTGTGTGACTGTGTGACAAATTTATGAAATTGTTGATCTTAATACTTTGACAGTGCTTTGTCTTGTAAAGTCAAACTGATCAGTGTTTATTCACCTAAAATATCGAATGATCATTGTTTCGGGATTTGGCCTTGTTTTATTGATTAGGAGGGTTGTTTTTTTCGTTCGCTACTATTTCGCTGATTACACTGTAAATAACAGTTTTCCAAACATCTTTAAATCTAGATAGAATCAAGCATTGAAACTGCATCATGCAGCTGTTTCATCCGTCTAGGACTTGTCAGTGATCGTAAGGGCCTTAACTGTTGAAACAGAGGAGGTGACTGAGGAAATCTTATTTTGTCAAGATAAATGTCAAAAGAAACGAACCTGATGGGGAGGTACGCTGGTCCACTGATTCAATACATTTAATCATTTTCATCATTGAACGATTTCGGAAGGACGTCAAATACATGTGTATGTTCTGAACATCGCCATAAATTATATCAATTAAATGGCATACAAGTTACGGTACATCCCGTAGATTATGTCCACCAGAAGTGTCTACAACCTTAGCTTGGTAGCTTGGAAAATATTGGTTTCAGTGACTGCTTCAGCTTTTAACAATGGAAGGTTTTACTGAGTAACGTATGATTTAAATTCTAAATTTCAAGCAAGGAAATGTTCAATGTAAGAGCCAGTGTTTGTCTCTTGTCGTAAAAGGATAGGTTCAGTGGCAAAAGTGTTTGTCCCTGATTGTACAAGGACAGGTTCAGTGGCAACATTGTGTCCCTGATTGTACAAGGACAGGTTCAGTGTCAACATTGTGTGTCCCTTATTGTACAAGGATAGGTTCAGTGGCAACATTGTGTACCTGATTGTACAAGGACAGGTTCAGTGGCAACATTGTGTGTCCCTGATTGTACAAGGACAGGTTCAGTGTCAACATTGTGTGTCCCTTATTGTACAAGGATAGGTTCAGTGGCAACATTGTGTACCTGATTGTACAAGGATAGGTTCAGTGGCAACATTGTGTACCTGATTGTACAAGGACAGGTTCAGTGGCAACATTGTGTACAAGGACAGGTTCAGTGGCAACATTGTGTGTCCCTTATTGTACAAGGATAGGTTCAGTGTCAACAGTGTGTGTCCCTTATTGTACAAGGATAGGTTCAGTGTCAACAGTGTGTGTCCCTGATTGTACAAGGATAGGTTCAGTGGCAACATTGTGTGTCCCTTATTGTACAAGGATAGGTTCAGTGTCAAAAGTGTGTGTCCCTTATTGTACAAGGATAGGTTCAGTGTCAAAAGTGTGTGTCCCTTATTGTACAAGCATAGGTTCAGTGTCAACAGTGTGTGTCCCTTATTGTACAAGGATAGGTTCAGTGTCAACAGTGTGTGTCCCTGATTGTAAAAGGACAGGTTCAGTGTCAACATTGTGTGTCCCTGATTGTACAAGGATAGGTTCAGTGGCAACATTGTGTGTCCCTTATTGTACAAGGATAGGTTCAGTGTCAACATTGTGTGTCCCTGATTGTACAAGGATAGGTTCAGTGTCAACAGTGTGTGTCCCTTATTGTACAAGGATAGGTTCAGTGTCAACAGTGTGTGTCCCTTATTGTACAAGGATAGGTTCAGTGTCAACAGTGTGTGTCCCTGATTGTACAAGGATAGGTTCAGTGTCAACATTGTGTGTCCCTTATTGTACAAGGATAGGTTCAGTGGCAACATTGTGTACTTGATTGTACAAGGACAGGTTCAGTGTCAACATTGTGTGTCTCTTATTGTACAAGGATAGCTTCAGTGTCGACAGTGTGTGTCCCTTATTGTACAAGGATAGGTTCAGTGTCAACAGTGTGTGTCCCTGATTGTACAAGGATAGGTTCAGTGGCAACATTATGTGTCCCTTATTGTACAAGGATAGGTTCAGTGTCAAAATTGTGTGTCCCTTATTGTACAAGGATAGGTTCAGTGTCAACAGTGTGTGTCCCAGATTGTACAAGGATAGGTTCAGTGTCAACATTGTGTGTCCCTGATTGTACAAGGATAGGTTCAGTGTCAACATTGTGTGTCCCTTATTGTACAAGGATAGGTTCAGTGTCAACAGTGTGTGTCCCTTATTGTACAAGGACAGGTTCAGTGGCAACATTGTGTGTCCCTGATTGTACAAGGATAGGTTCAGTGGCAACATTGTGTGTCCCTTATTGTACAAGGATAGGTTCAGTGTCAACAGTGTTTGTCTGTAATTGTACAAGGATAGGTTCAGTGTCGACAGTGTGTGTCCCTGATTGTACAAGGATAGGTTCAGTGTCAACAGTGTTTGTCTGTAATTGGTTCAGTGTCGACAGTGTTTGTCTGTAATTGGTTCAGTGTTATTATTCGGCTTGTTTTAGATAATCAAGGTAAGTTCGTTCTTAAAGGAGTAGCGTCCGATAATGTAACGGCAGAACATTGGTCGTTTTTGTTTCAACAGTTGATATATTCTTAAAGGCCTCTAGGTAAGGTTATCAATGGAACTATGCAAAACTGTGGGGGAGTTTTAAGGGAAGATTGTATAGAAAGATAAATATACAAATTTCTGGTTTCTTTTTCAATCTAACAGTAAAAAACATGAAAAACCCTGTTAGACGTGTTTTTTTAACAATTAGGTTCATGCATTCCGATGATAAATTAACATATATTTTCATCTTATACACGACCGGAAAGGTTTGAATTATTGTCTTTTCTTAAAGATCAATCTACTTACTTTTCAAGAATGAACTCGCTGGTGTATTTCGTCACCCTGGTTACGATGACGTTCTCGGCTGTTGTGGCCGCTATGTGTCCCGACCCACTTCAATACGATCTGCCACTCCAGATTGGGAGAGGTGTCTGTGAGGTGTGGACTGTCACCATCATACTAATGACTATCTTTCAGGAGGCAAACCAATTCCGAAAGTATGTACATTTGGTGTTCATTTAGGAAATTATAATATAGTTAAAGTTTTTTTTAACTAAATCGATCAGTTTCTTAATATAAACATATATACATATTGATGTATGTATTGCTGAGAAGATAGAAAATTTCATGCATTAATTTGCAGATATTTGTCCCCGTTCATTTCCGTGATGATACCTGCTAAAATATCGTTATATGTCATAAGCTTATACCGCGAACATCACTTCAATGGTTGGGTGTTTGATCGTTTTATTATAATTTCTCGATGGACATCATTGCCTGACTACCAACCCTACAATAACAAGAAAATGCCGACTTGTAAACAATAGCGAAATACTCAGTGACAAATGTTGGATTGCGTTACAGGCAACGACTAGAGTACTGGACGGACGCCTTTAATTGGATAGATATGTCATCGTCCCTCTTACTGGCAACAGCGGTACCTCTCAGATTCACGGAGAGGTCTGAACAGTGGCCAGTCTTTTCCATAGGCTTTCTGCTCTGGACGCTCCGCATTTTCAAATACGCTGCTGTCTTCAGGTGAGTATTAAACCAGGTGTGATTATCATAGACCAACGGTCTAACGTAAAAGATGTGGGGTTGCCATAGACCAAACACTATAGGACAGTCTAACGGTGAAGATGTGGGGTTGCCATAGACCAAACACTATAGGGCGGTCTAACAGTGAAGATGTGGGGTTGCCATAGACCAAACACTATAGGACAATCTAACGGTGAAGATATGGGGTTGCTTTAGACCAAACACTATAGGGCAGTCTAACGGTGAAGATGTGGGGTTGCCATAGACCAAACACTACAGGGCAGTCTAACGGTGAAGATGTGGGGTTGCCATAGACCAAACACTATAGGACAGTCTAACGGTGAAGATGTGGGGTTGCCATAGACCAAACACTATAGGGCGGTCTAACGGTGAAGATGTGGGGTTGCCATAGACCAAACACTATAGGACAGTCTAACGGTGAAGATATGGGGTTGCTTTAGACCAAACACTATAGGGCAGTCTAATGGTGAAGATGTGGGGTTGCCATAGACCAAACACTATAGGGCAGTCCATAGGCGAAGATGTCGGGTTGCTTTAGACCAAACACTATAGGACAGTCTAACGGTGAAGATATGGGGTTGCTTTAGACCAAACACTATAGGGCAGTCTAACGGTGAAGATGTGGGGTTGCCATAGACCAAACACTATAGGGCAGTCCATAGGCGAAGATGTCGGGTTGCTTTAGACCAAACACTATAGGACAGTCTAACGGTGAAGATATGGGGTTGCTTTAGACCAAACACTATAGGGCAGTCTAACGGTGAAGATGTGGGGTTGCCATAGACCAAACATTATAGGGCAGTCCATAGGCGAAGATGTCGGGTTGCTTTAGACCAAACACTATAGGACAGTCTAACGGTGAAGATATGGGGTTGCTTTAGACCAAACACTATAGGGCAGTCTATCGGTGAAGATATGGGGTTGCCATAGACCAAACACTATAGGGCGGTCTAACGGTGAAGAGCACGGGTTGCTTTAGACCAAACACTATAGGGCAGTCTATCGGTGAAGAGCTGGGGTTGCCATAGACCAAACACTATAGGGCAGTCTATCGGTGAAGATATGAGGTTGTCATTAACCAAACACTATAGGGCAGTCTTACGGTGAAGATATTGGGTTGCCATAGACCAAACACTATAGGGCAGTCTATCGGTGAAGATATGGGGTTGCCATAGACCAAACACTATAGGGCAGTCTATCGGTGAAGATATGAGGTTGTCATTAACCAAGCAATATAGGGCAGTCTAACGGTGACGAGCTGGGGTCGCCGTAGACCAAACACTATAGGGCAGTCTATCGGTGAAGATATGGGGTTACCATTGACCAAACAATATAGGGCAGTCTTACGGTGAAGATATTGGGTTGCCATAGACCAAACACTATAGGGCAGTCTATCGGTGAAGATATGGGGTTGCCATAGACCAAACACTATAGGGCAGTCTATCGGTGAAGATATGGGGTTGCCATAGACCAAACACTATAGGGCAGTCTATCGGTGAAGATATGGGGTTGCCATAGACCAAACACTATAGGGCAGTCTATCGGTGAAGATATGGGGTTGCCATTAAAATAATATAGGGCAGTTACGGTAAGGATGTGAGGTTACCATAGACCATTCAGTAAAAACAATTTAACGGTAAAGATGTGATTTAGGTTTAGCTACATTGTAGAAAAAAGTTTGCTGTTTATATTACTCTGATACCTGGTCCTATCTTGAATACATTTGATTGCTCTTATTCTATGAAAAATATTTTCAATTTCTGCAGACAGACAGGTGCATACGCCCAGATCCTATGGCGAATTCTAGCACATGACTTCATCCAGTTCACCATCGTGTTTACGGTGATCCTCTTGGCTTTTAGTGGCTCGTTTCTTTTGTCGCTTCGTGGCGATGGCTCGCTCAATACACACCAGGACACAAGGTAAGAGTTTCGTAATAAGGACTCGTTCAACACACACACAGATACAGGGTAACTGACTCGTGGTAAAGACCCGCTCAACACACACAAAGACACAAAGTAACTGACTCGTGGTAAGGACCCGCTCACGCACACAAAGACACCAGGTAACTGATTGGTGGTAAGTACCCGCTCAACACACACAAAGACATCAAGTAGCTGACTGGTGGTAAGGACCAGCTCAACACACACAAAGACACAAGGTAACTGACTCGTGGTAAGGGCCCTCTCAACACACACGGAGATACAAGGTAACCGACTCGTGGTAAGGACCCGCTCAACACCCACAAAGACACTAGGTAACTGACCCGTGGTAAGGACCCGCTCAACACACACAGAGACACAAGTGGTAAGGACTCGCTCAACACACACAAAGACACAAGGTAACTGACTGGTGGTAAGGACCAGCTCAACACACACAAAGACACAAGGTAACTGACCCGTGGTAAGGACCCGCTCAACACACACAAAGACACAAGGTAACTGACTCGTGGTAAGGACCCGCTCAACACACACAAAGACACAAAGTAACTGACTCGTGGTAAGGACCCGCTCACGCACACAAAGACACCAGGTAACTGATTGGTGGTAAGTAACCGCTCAACACACACAAAGACACTAGGTAACTGACTCGTGGTAAGGACCCGCTCAACACACACAAAGACACTAGGTAACTGACTGGTGGTAAGGACCCGCTCAACACACACAGAGATACAAGGTAACTGACTCGTGGTAAAGACCCGCTCAACACACACAAAGACACCAAGTAGCTGACTGGTGGTAAGGACCCGCTCAATACACACAAAGACACAAGGTAACTGACCCGTGGTAAGGACCCGCTCAACACACACAGAGACACAAGTGGTAAGGACTCGCTCAACACACACAAAGACACAAGGTAACTGACTGGTGGTAAGGACCAGCTCAACACACACAAAGACACAAGGTAACTGACCCGTGGTAAGGACCCGCTCAACACACACAAAGACACAAGGTAACTGACTCGTGGTAAGGACCCGCTCAACACACACAAAGACACAAAGTAACTGACTCGTGGTAAGGACCCGCTCACGCACACAAAGACACCAGGTAACTGATTGGTGGTAAGTACCCGCTCAACACACACAAAGACATCAAGTAGCTGACTGGTGGTAAGGACCAGCTCAACACACACAAAGACACAAGGTAACTGACTCGTGGTAAGGGCCCTCTCAACACACACGGAGATACAAGGTAACCGACTCGTGGTAAGGACCCGCTCAACACCCACAAAGACACTAGGTAACTGACTGGTGGTAAGGACCCGCTCAACACACACAAAGACACTAGGTAACTGACTGGTGGTAAGGACCCGCTCAACACACACAGAGATACAAGGTAACTGACTCGTGGTAAAGACCCGCTCAACACACACAAAGACACCAAGTAGCTGACTGGTGGTAAGGACCCGCTCAATACACACAAAGACACAAGGTAACTGACCCGTGGTAAGGACCCGCTCAACACACACAGAGACACAAGTGGTAAGGACTCGCTCAACACACACAAAGACACAAGGTAACTGACTCGTGGTAAGGACCAGCTCAACACACACAAAGACACAAGGTAACTGACCCGTGGTAAGGACCCGCTCAACACACACAAAGACACTAGGTAACTGACTCGTGGTAAGGACCCGCTCAACACACACAAAGACACTAGGTAACTGACTGGTGGTAAGGACCCGCTCAACACACACAGAGATACAAGGTAACTGACTCGTGGTAAAGACCCGCTCAACACACACAAAGACACCAAGTAGCTGACTGGTGGACTAGGTAACTGACCCGTGGTAAGGACCCGCTCAACACACACAGAGACACAAGTGGTAAGGACTCGCTCAACACACACAAAGACACAAGGTAACTGACTGGTGGTAAGGACCAGCTCAACACACACAAAGACACAAGGTAACTGACCCGTGGTAAGGACCCGCTCAACACACACAAAGACACAAGGTAACTGACTCGTGGTAAGGACCCGCTCACGCACACAAAGACACCAGGTAACTGATTGGTGGTAAGTACCCGCTCAACACACACAAAGACATCAAGTAGCTGACTGGTGGTAAGGACCAGCTCAACACACACAAAGACACAAGGTAACTGACTCGTGGTAAGGGCCCTCTCAACACACACGGAGATACAAGGTAACCGACTCGTGGTAAGGACCCGCTCAACACCCACAAAGACACTAGGTAACTGACTCGTGGTAAGGACCCGCTCAACACACACAGAGACACTAGGTAACTGACTGGTGGTAAGGACCCGCTCAACACACACAGAGATACAAGGTAACTGACTCGTGGTAAAGACCCGCTCAACACACACAAAGACACCAAGTAGCTGACTGGTGGTAAGGACCCGCTCAATACACACAAAGACACAAGGTAACTGACCCGTGGTAAGGACCCGCTCAACACACACAGAGACACAAGTGGTAAGGACTCGCTCAACACACACAAAGACACAAGGTAACTGACTCGTGGTAAGGACCAGCTCAACACACACAAAGACACAAGGTAACTGACCCGTGGTAAGGACCCGCTCAACACACACAAAGACACTAGGTAACTGACTCGTGGTAAGGACCCGCTCAACACACACAAAGACACTAGGTAACTGACTGGTGGTAAGGACCCGCTCAACACACACAGAGATACAAGGTAACTGACTCGTGGTAAAGACCCGCTCAACACACACAAAGACACCAAGTAGCTGACTGGTGGTAAGGATTCGCTCAATACACACAAAGACACAAGGTAACTGACCCGTGGTAAGGACCCGCTCAACACACACAGAGACACAAGTGGTAAGGACTCGCTCAACACACACAAAGACACAAGGTAACTGACTGGTGGTAAGGACCAGCTCAACACACACAAAGACACAAGGTAACTGACCCGTGGTAAGGACCCGCTCAACACACACAAAGACACAAGGTAACTGACTCGTGGTAAGGACCCGCTCAACACACACAAAGACACAAAGTAACTGACTCGTGGTAAGGACCCGCTCAACACACACAAAGACACAAGGTAACTGACTCGTGGTAAAGACCCGCTCAACACACACAAAGACACCAAGTAGCTGACTGGTGGTAAGGACCCGCTCAACACACACAAAGACACAAGGTAACTGACCCGTGGTAAGGACCCGCTCAACACACACAGAGACACAAGTGGTAAGGACCCGCTCAACACACACAAAGATACACGATAAGTGATCACTGAGACCATGTAGAGATGTCTGCTGCTTGGGGAACAACATCGGTATTCTCCTAATTTCCAATTTACTGAATTGCTAAAATAAGTTCTTTGGCCAGTTTCAGTGGAAAATCGACAAATCCATTGTTATTGGCCGAGTTTGATTGCAATATTACGACATAATATGATATATTAGATAATCAATACATGATGTACAAACTAAATTACAACAACAACAATCTATCTCCTTATCTTTGAATTTCTTAGTATTTATTACTTACAGTCGTCACATCAATGTAGTCTTAACCTTGTTCAATAGCTTTTGAATCTATTTACAGTTCATTCTGGAACATTCTCTTCCTTGGCGTCCGGATACTTATCGAAGCTGAAAGAATTATTGAATACACCGAGCTTTCGTAAGTTTATAAATATTTCATATTTTCATTTTATGTTATTTTCCCGTTACTCGTTACCCTATCTTGTATTTTGTATCTTTAAAGTAACGTTCTGATTTCTTCTTTGGATACATTAAATCAAAAACCAGTGATGAATGTATCTTACACCAACTTATAGAAATCGGTCAACGGAAACAGTGTAAGTACAAGATACACATGTATGCATTCCATACTCCACGAAACAGTGTAAGTACGAGATACATTATGCATTCCATACTCCACGAGACAGTGTAAGCACGAGATACATTATGCATTCCATACTCCACGAAACAGTGTAAGTACGAGATACATTATGCATTCCATACTCCACGAAACAGTGTAAGTACGAGATACATTATGCATTCCATACTCCACGAGACAGTTTAAGTACGAGATACATTATGCATTCCATACTCCACGAGACAGTGTAAGTACGAGATACATTATGCATTCCATACTCCACGAGACAGTGTAAGTACGAGATACATTATGCATTCCATACTCCACGAGACAGTGTAAGTACGAGATACATTATGCATTCCATACTCCACGAGACAGTGTAAGTACGAGATACATTATGCATTCCATACTCCACGAAACAGTGTAAGTACGAGATACATTATGCATTCCATACTCCACGAAACAGTGTAAGTACGAGATACATTATGCATTCCATACTCCACGAAACAGTGTAAGTACGAGATACAGTATGCATTCCATACTCCACGAAACAGTGTAAGTACGAGATACATTATGCATTCCATACTCCACGAGACAGTGTAAGTACGAGATACATTATGCATTCCATACTCCACGAGACAGTGTAAGTACGAGATACATTATGCATTCCATACTCCACGAAACAGTGTAAGTACGAGATACATTATGCATTCCATACTCCACGAAACAGTGTAAGTACGAGATACATTATGCATTCCATACTCCACGAAACAGTGTAAGTACGAGATACATTATGCATTCCATACTCCACGAAACAGTGTAAGTACGAGATACATTATGCATTCCATACTCCACGAAACAGTGTAAGTACGAGATACATTATGCATTCCATACTCCACGAGACAGTTTAAGTACGAGATACATTATGCATTCCATACTCCACACATATAAACTATCTTGGTTTTATATCCTTTGTCAGACCAATGAGCTGCCTCCTGATGGTCCTGTTTCTGTTCACGTGCTGTGTTGTCTTGCTTAATATCCTCATTGCTCAACTCAGCGACACATACCAGCACGTGCAGCAAGACGCACAAAGAGGGTTAGAGGTCAATAGGGCGTGGATAGTCGCTCGAGTGGAACTCAACAGTTTCATACTTGGAAAGGTACCGATCTACTTTGTCAATATGTCACTATGCGATCATATATAATAACATGTTACAATCTCTTTTTTTAAATTGTCTTTGAAAAACTTTATTAATAACCGTATCTTTGGCGATCCAAATCAACATCGAGACATTAAAGGCTTTTAAGATGTCCACCTTTACGACTAACCTGGGCAGGTGATAGAGAATAGATTCTTCAGAATATGTCTGACGTTACATGTCGCAAGATACAACTAATTATGGGGCACCCTGGTGTCTTCTATTTAGGGAACATCAGAGAGACAAAGAATAAGACATACTGCATTCCACTGTATGTTTGCAGTTGGTAAACAAATATGGGACCCCCTCCAGAATTGAGGTTCTTTTTCCTGTCTCCTTCTAAAGGGACATTAAAGACATAGTCAAACTTTTCGTGAATATTCATATTTACAGGATCACCGTACCAATTACTATAAGGATTACGAGGATATCTGTGATATAAAACATGTACTGGAGCGCTGGGAAACCCCGCCATTGAACGAAATGAACAAAAACATTCAGGATATCTGGGACTCCCTTCAGTCACACAAACTCAATGTACTCACTGTACACAACAGACTGGCACGCCAGGAAACAGCCCTACTCAAGTTGCAGTGAGTCATTATGTGTTAAACCTCTTTTCAAGTGTCAGGATTTCGCCCATGATGCATTGTTGTACCCTACGTAATACCTCTGTAAACTGCTCACATTTTTTCAATATCCTTTTAAAACGTATCAAAATTTACATTACGGGTGTCGTCGAGGAAACAGAAGACGTTTACTCTTCCGGATCACCTGGTCTCGTTCTCCTTGTACTTTTCCATTTTAGTGTTCGTGTAAATCTTTCTTTTGATCGTATTATGTTGACACGTTGGTATTTTCTCGGTTTTAATTGGGTTCTTTTAAGAACACAGTTGCTATTATGCGTTAAAAAGCTTTTTTAGTATTCAATATAGTCATTGTTTCATTCTACATTGTAGTACAAACAAGGTCCAATTCACTTACGAATACCTTGAATTATTTTATGGGAATGACTTTATGCAATATGTAAATAAATGTACTTTGCGTTGGAACTTTAATTCCTTTCTGTATATGAAAAAAATATACGTAAATTCTAATTACCTGTAGACAATTTAACATCTACATAAATTAAGCCTTCATTTGGTGAGTAGTAACGTTGTAAATGATGCACATAGTGTGGATGTCATTCATAGGGATTATATGACACAGATGTTTTTTTAACTGAATTTATCTGTAGTTAACAATCGCCGCCATCTTTTTACATTATGAATATGTATGATCTTGAAGTCAAACAAGAAAGTCCATGGCTATTCACATAGGTGTATCGTGACTGCAAGGAACGACAACTGTGGTAGAAATTGAAAACGACAGTAATTATAACCAAGGATTGCATTGGTCAAACATTTCACTCAGGAATGCGTTTTGTCCTGAGCCAGAAACCTCATCACATGAAAGACAACCAGCCAGATATTTTGGTTTTAGAAATATCGCTCTTCGGTCTCAATTCATTTTGTTTCTTTATGTATCCAGTAAACCTGAAAAGGGCATTCTCAGTTTCCATTAATGTGCATATGTCGTTGTTATTATAATGTTATTTTTTGTCTTTTTATTATTTGCAGAGAGAATGTTCAAAACATCCTTGAGATTCTGCAGTCGAAATCTACTGCCCACTCGACTCCTAGCGGCGACCAAGCCGAAGGACCCGAAACGAGTTTAAGTGACGTAACATTTGAAAACTGAGAAAATTGGTTATCGTTGTTATTCTCAATTAATGAAATTATCAGCATTATATTTTATAACAAAGTGGCTTTCATTTCCATTAAATGATATTTCAATAAAATTTATATATATTTTTTATCGTCTCTTTTGTTAAAAGCATGACCCGAATGACCTGTTTATTATAACTGTATTTGTTTACCCTTTCGATCATTGAATCGCCTAAATACATAACAATGAAAGGTGAACAAGGCAAGTCGTCCCAGTCGGAATAAACATAGTCATGTTTTTATTTATCTTGTTTATAATGATACTACAAAGTATCAACTTTGTACCTCATTTAAGAACATTCTACAGACATGCTTAACTTACATCAAATCAAACCTCATACAGTAAATACCAAAACATATGTGCTAACAAAACACATGCGAAGAAAATAAAATGAAGTTTAAGAAAAAACGTAAATCTGAAATACGCTGTTCAAACTCGCTTTGTTTAACATAAGCATGCAGTTGTACAGCAGACATGGCGCCTCCGCCATCATTGAAATATGTTTACATGTGGGACAGTAAATTCAAAGCTGGTAAGGTATGTTTACATGTGAGACAATAAATTCAAAGTTATTAAGATATGTTTACATGTGTGACAGTAAATTCAAAGTTGGTAAGATATGTTTACATGTGTGACAGTAAATTCAAAGTTGGTAAAATATGTTTACATGTGGGACAGTAAATTCAAAAATGGAAAAAAAAACTTATATGAAAGAGGAAAAACGGTCAGACAACTCCGGCAACCCAAGTGTTTGAGGTTAAAAAAATGTATCCCATGGATACCACACTTGCTGCCATCTGAACAACAGGCTGAGCATCTGAATTGTGCTAAAGCAAACTTTTAAACTTCTGGTCAGTAACTCAAGAAAACTATCTTCTATATTACAGCGGACGAGACGTGACTGTACTGTTTTGAACCACAAAGGTGCAAATTACACAATTCTTGACCGCATTGCCCCAAACATCAAATAATATTTTACATTGAATACTTTTAAAATGTACCAACCTATTTTAAGCAGATATTGGTAAAAAATCAACAAAATACCAACATGGCAACATAATTATAATTCATAAAACTAGGGCAAAATATGAACAAAAGAAAGATTTACACAGACTCCTGAAAAGTACAAATAGAATAATACCAGATGTTTCGGAAGAGTAAGCGTCTTCTGCTTCATCGACGACACCCGCCATGTAAACCTTGGTCAATCCAAGTAAGTCACGTTCTCAAATGAGAACAAGGTATACGACAACGGAACCAACAGGTAAACTGAAACTAACGAGCATCAAATACGTCCAGCTTGATGTCGCTCAAAGAAATAGAATATTTCTCAGTGATATCACTATGGCGACCATAAAACTTCCCCGTAATTTAAACATATGAAATGTGAAACCCATGGTGAACGCAAGGCTGTAGACGGAATATGGTGTCAATAGGTTATACTGACCCTTGTCTCTTGTTTCCTTTGTCGAAGTGCACAGAATGATGCAATGTCTCACGCAGTGGTTACGTCATGAATAGTGGGCTTTTCTGCTAAGGTGAGGGAAATAGCGATATTTTCACCCTTTCTTAGGACGATGGTTTTGTATTCTAACCAGCTCCATGCGACGGTGTTTTAACATTTGTGTACTACTTTGCTGCTTATAATTTGTTCAGAAACCTGTCAATACTACCGTCTTCAGATATCATTTCATTCCGGTGTCGACTCATAGTTACAAATATCGTGTGTAAGTTTAAATGTGATTGGTAGATAGAGAGGCACAATAATCCTACAATATATGGAATAAGCCAAATATTTAATGCAGATTTTTTTTTCTGAAATGGTAATGCCGACATTCAGTTATATTAGTCTTTGGGGAAAATTTCCGTGAGCTAGGCTGATTTAGACTAGTATCTTTAGACTTGATGTTAGTTAATTAGCTGAAGGACAGTTCAGAAGATAATGATAGTTTATGCATCAAATGACTTATTACATTTACTAACAGCTAGTTTTCAAACTTACATTAGCGCTAGTTGTCATAGTTTACTTTCGGTGGCTATATACAGTTGAGAAGGCCCGAGGGCCCGGTGGTTTCAGCGTGAAAATGTGTATAAAAGGAGGGCAGAAATTAAATACTTACAACGTCATCATCATCATCATCATCATCATCATCATTATCATCGCCAGAATACCGGTGAGACGATACCTGGCAGAGGGTGGCGTCGCGGAGACGGAAAACCTGTCAACCAACACGGGAGAGGAGATACAGTCTATATGACTACGCATGGTAGTAATCGATTGGAGAAATGAATAGTGACTTATTTTGTAAGTTTTATTTCCCTATCCCATGGGAAATAACTGGTCAGCGATCGTCCAAAATGACATTGTTTCTAATTTATGAAACTAATTTGTGGCGTCATATTTGTATCATGACGTCTCTTTATATCAAAACGTTACTTTAAATCATAACCAGTCATTTAATTTTGACATATGTTTCATGTGTCATTAAATCATTTACCTCGTCAATTTTCGAAATACAAAGTGAGAAAAAAATATATCATTATCTTTGTGATGTATCGCAACTCTTTGAAAATGCGTAACGTCAATTTTAGCTTTCAGCAGTCTTGTTTCAAACTTGAATGACCTTACTCTTGAGTCATGATAACTCAGTCTACACCACGCAGAGATTCTTGGTGATGTTTTCAAATTAAACTTGTAAAACGGGAAAGCGTGTAGAACAGAGCCATTTAATCAACTAACAATGTAGCTCGGATGATTTGCGTATTTTCATTGCCAAAGCATATGCCAATTATGCATGTATATGTAAAAGTAACGAGCACACGTCCCCTTACTAGCCTCGGCTAGCTAGCATTTCCTTTTCATAGTTCAGTGGCGAAGTGCAGCAGAGCAGAAGATATATCAACAGAGGTAGCCAATGCCGTTCTTAGATTAACTTGAAGCTACCTAACATGTCCACTGAATTATCTAATGACATGCTGATGATTTAATTTTTTTTCTTATTGTTGTACCATTTCAGATTTTTCTTTGTTCCAATCTGACATCATCGTATCATCGAAAAATCCGGAAAAAATGTATATCATGTTTAGCAATTAGAATATCAGATGTGGTGGCGCTACAATCGCAAAAGAACATACTTCCGGTTCGAACAGAGCATTTCGAAACAGAAAACACAGCGTTAGACTTACGTACACTTCCGCTACAAACGCAGGATGGTGAGAAGCTACACATCAAGTGACGATGAAGAGGAAACCAGGACTCGACGAAAACACCAAAAACGACAGTCCCACTCTAGAAGTCCGAAAAGGGTAACACAATTAAGTTATTGTTCTCGTAAAGTTTCTCCGCAGGTTCAGAGGGTAATTAACTCGAGCACATCAGCAGTGACTGTGATACGGGAAAGTCATTTAAAGTTTGTTTGTTTTTTCTAGTTCTCACATAAACTACGAGGATTAAAAGCGATGAAGACACTTTTATAAAAAGATACATTTACACGAAAAACCATATACATTTTTCAGTAGTAAGATTTAATATTGTCCCTCGAAAACAAGACTTCTGACATATTGGCATTATTTATTGGTTGAAACGAAAGAGACGGGGTATGAAAGATCATAGTACGAAGTATCATGCCTTGTTGGACAGTTTCCAATTTCCTTGCTGCAATAAAGTTAGATTTTTACAGTTTTTTATAGGATTTTTTTGATGAAAAAGTTTGTTGTAAAAGTTACTCACTCGTCATGCCTAGTGGGTACATTTTTCAGTACCCCCTCCTTTTACAGATTTGGTGTTGTCGACCACTAAAAGAGTAATAGCTATTACATATTGTGATGCTTCCTCTGAAGTATCAAACCTGGGTAGTTGTTGTCAAAGATTTTGTGAAGGAGGGAGTAGTGTAAATATTGAAAGTACAGATTGCCATAGCTAGTGGGAATATCAATTTAGTTGCAGTTATTTTTTCATTACTCCTTCCTATTACACAATTACAAAGATATATCATAGGTTCTCAACATTTGAGTGAGTCCCAAAAGAAAATCTTGAACTTGGTACTCAAATGTTTTAGTAATCATTGAGTTTACACAGCAAGAAACCTACATGTATGACATACGCTTTGTCGAAATTGACACAATAATGCCAGATAATAATTTGGCAAACAGGCCTGGTGTACTTACTGAATGCCTAGGGAGAAATAGGTCTACAAGGTGTTTTGTACACATAGGCTTTTATTCATGTATTTTTTTACTTTAATTTTTTTAATTTTTTTTCTTTGTACCATGCACATGAAACTCATGTCTAAGAAAACCCCAAAAAATCCCTTTAGTTGACCAAGTGCAAAGAATTGAAATGCATAGTTGGAGTTTAGTGAGTATTGAACATGCACTATTAGCAGTTTCACATACAAGTGAGTGCTGAGAAACATTTTGTAAGCCCATGAATTTATAAATGTGTTTTTTTTTATAATATTTTTTCTGTAAAACTCACTTGACACCCATGTGTAACAACATGCAAAAAATCTTTTCATTTGACTAAGAGCAACCTCTGGTATAGGGGTACTGTTTCCTTTGACTGACTCACTGAAATAATTATTTAAAGCCAGCATATCTTGACAGCAATGTTTTACCAATGGTATCTTTTATGGTTGGTTGGTGATATTCAAATGAGTTCCGTCCTTCCATGTAGATACTGCTTTCTGCATGATATCTTTTGAAGGTCTGGTTGAGTTTGTTAAAACTTGGTTGGTACACTTGTTACCTTAATCCCTTGCCCAAATTTGATTAACAGCAAATTCTGTGCATACTTCAGGAGGCTTCTGTGACCTGATTGGTGGGTTTCTTTCATCACTCTATGGTAATTTCTGAACATTAGCATTGGGTAAAAGAAAGGAATTTAAAGGTACAATAAGCTGATTTTGATATTCACAGTATTATGCTACTAAATGGCTATTATACATTTTGCATTGATCATGTTCAACTGAATGTTAAACTGAACATAAACAATAAATGGTTTCAATGCTTTAGTTTCCACGTTACTCACTTTAAATGTTTATATTTTACAAATAAACTTGGGTGAGGATCTTGATGACTGTGTTCTTGTTTTTTCAGAAATCTTTTTTTTTGTTAATAATTTGAAAGGGATGTGTAAAAACATATCTGAAATGCAGGATTTTTTATGAAATTGGGTTGATGTAATGTGATTTGAACTAAAGGTCTTTTTTATCTGTAAAACTCTTTAAAACAGAAATTTTTAAAAAATGTAGGTTTTGACATGTGAAGAAAGTTCATCTTGGCACTTAATACTAACAGACATCAAATATGGTCTTTTTTCCTTACAAATAATAGGATAGAATTGGGCAAAACAAAGTTGTTTTAAAGGATAACATTTTTGGTGGTGTTTTTAGCAAAGGATAAACTTAATTCGGCACGATCTCAATATTTTGGTCCATGATTAATAAATATCAATATTAATATTACTGTGACTATCTTATGGGTACCATTGATTGACATATTTTTTATTCTTGTAACAGTAATTATATCACAATGGCCAAAGAGGTCAAGGAGTAACAAAGAATTAAAATAGACTTTTTTCTCCATGTTACAATAATCATGATATTATATGTTCTTCTATCTAAGTAAAATTTAGTTGCTATCAGTAGGTTATAATTTTTTTTATAACATAATGTTAACACATCAAAAAAACAAAAGTGAAAGTAATGAATTCAATTTCATGTAAACTTGCAACATTATAATATATTTTGAGACAAGTGACCATAATTTTACTTTTGGTCATTTCAGGAATCTAAACACGGAAAAAAGAAAAAGAAATCTAAATTTGATGAATCAAGATCCTCAAGTAGAAGCCCACCCCCAAAACGAAAGATAAAAATGGAACAAGAATCACCAGAATATGAACAAGGAGAGAGAACTCACAGCAGGAAACATCACAGAGAGGATCGAGACAGAAGAAAACAAGAACACAAACACAGAAATGAAGAAAGATTTGATCCACATCGTCGAATAAAACAGGAACCAGATGATGATGCCAGAGGGCACAGGAGAGACAATGAAATGAGGGAGCAAAGGCGAGAAAGAGATAGGAATGATGACAGGAGGCGAGAGGCTAGGAGACAAAGGGGAAATAACCCTTTCAGGACAGAAGATGATGGGTTTGTGTATGGTCAGCAACAAGAACAGGGTCAAAAAAAGACAGAAGAACCAAAAGACAAAGATAAACCAGACTTTAAACTCTCAGGGAAATTAACAGAGGATACAAATACATACCGTGGTGTAGTCATTAAGTACAATCAACCTCCAGAGGCAAGAAAGCCTAAGAAACGGTGGAGATTGTATCCATTTAAGGGAGATGAAGCCCTGCCAGTATTACACATTCACAGAATGAGTGCCTATTTAATGGGAAGAGACAGACTTGTGGTGGACATTCCCACAGATCATCCCTCATGCTCCAAACAACATGCTGTCCTTCAATACAGACTTGTGAACTTTGAGCGTGAAGATGGTACGACAGGACGTAAGGTTGCCCCCTATATCATAGATCTTGACTCGTCCAATGGCACCTATGTAAATAATCAAAGAATAGACCCTCAGCGATATGTTGAATTATTTGAGAAAGACATGCTTAAATTTGGGTTCAGCTCTAGGGAGTATATCTTACTACATGAAAAGACAGATACATCTGAACTAGCTGAAGATTCTGGATCAGGTTCAGATAATTGAGTCATGACATCATTAAATATAAGTCTGCATATCATTACACAAACACAGATTAAGATGTACTTAACATTCATTTTATAAATTTTTTGTTCATATTTATACGTTTTTGCCTATGATCAGGTTATATCACAGCTGTGTGTTGATTCTTTAAATTGACAATGCTTTTGTTGATACTTGTAAGTTGTTCTAGAATCACTGATTAAGTCAAGTCATGTGTGTACCAGATCATATTTTTTTCATTAATTTTAAGGAGTTTAATGAAGACATACTCTTTACATATACACTGTACATCATACAATAAAAGGTGAATATTGTCGTTAAGATCACTGAATGACAGATTCATGTGAAAACAATGACTCTTATATTCAGAATATTATCAGAAGTATATTTGATAACAAAATGAATCATAACAATAGCAAAACATCCTGTCTTTTAGGGGCCATGGTGGTTAAGTGATGAAATCATCAGACCAACTTTAGCATTAGCCACTTATGGGTCACATATTTGAGGCCTGCATGGGACAGTTGCCAGGTACTTGCCACAGGTCAGTGGATTTTCTCTGGATTTCTTCCAGCAACTTAACCTGGCACATTCTTAAATGACACTGGCTATTAATGGGACTAGCTACAATATATTAACACTGTCTTTTGAACTTTTCTGCAGTATAACATGATATCATGCCATGCCATTAGTATGTCATAAAGTTGCTATATTTTAATAGAAAATTAACTTAGCAACAACTTAATCATGATATTATGCTTTTAAATATAGTAGCGTTGCCTGATGTGTATTCCATGAACAACCAGAATGTGAGACTTGTTAACATGTTTGATATTTTGAGTTCATTTATTGACAAAAATATTGTTTATATTACTGATTTAAACAATATTTGATACAAGTTAACCAGAATAGCATTTTATTTATTTTTCTGAGAACATTTCTTCTATTTTTGTAGATATAACTGCACAAAATGCCTCATACCTTTGATACAGAATCTATTATTAGAAGCTTATTGTGGTTTTACTAAATAAAAAAACAAAATGTGCTAGTTCACTGGATAACAAGTGGTCACATCTAAATGATTCTGAAATGTTTATATCCTCTCAACATATTTTGTTATAAATGTCTCCACAAGTCCTTTTCTAATCTTACTATTATGAAATATGTTTACCATTTATCACAGATGTGGGTTTTAGTAAATAGGTAAGTAGAGTTGCTGTTAATTCGCTTCGTAAACCAGATTATGGAGTTGTCGCTCTATGGATGCCATTTCATACTGAACAGGCATACTCACAATTTTGTTACTTAACAAGAAATGCAATTTGGCTTTATCATTTTGTAGAATTCAAGTAGTTCCATGGTCATGGAAATTTCACAAACATGTTCTTGATAATCTGTTGTATATATATGATTCTGAGTATATATATGTGTCTGAGTTCCAAGTATATATATGTGAGTCTGAGTTCTGAGTATACATATGAGTCTGAGTTCTGAGTATATATATGAATCTGACCGAAGATTCCACTCACAAGGGTATAATCTGTGATGCTATTGTAAAATGAGATTGGAAGTCAAGTCATGTCAGCTACATCTGGTTTTGTTATTGTTTCCTATTCTGTAAGAGACTATGTGTAAGTGGCACATTTTCTATCCCTCATCGCCTCCAGTTTTGCTGAATTTAGTGGTAATGTGATTGATCTTGGCAGGGGCTTGTCGTAAAAAACTCTAATCAGCCATAAGAAAGACATTGTTTTACTGTTTTCACTATGAGATTAGGATGCAACATTGTATCTAGCAAATTTCACATTTTTTAAGATTGAAGATCATAGGATTATTTAAAAATTGGAAGAATGAAAGTGAGGTTGTATGTCGTGTTAAATTGCAACTGCAAAATTTTGCACTACTGAATGAAAATTGACATGTAATTTTATGTGGACAGTTGAAGGCTGTGTGTATGTATCAAAACGTTACTGAAAAGATTCACTTTGTTGATTGATTCAGACCAAAGATAACTAATTGAGACACAGTGTAATTATTGCACTGGTTGTCATAGCCTTCTATAGAATTGTTATGCTGTGTTAAAAAAAAATAATAAAAATCATGTATATTGTGTATAATTAATGTGTAACATGAAGTTCATATTTAAAAAAGTCAAAAACAGTGGAGAAATATGACAACACTTGTACATCTGGATGTGTACCTAATTGTAGCAGTGACACAAAGTTACAGAAACACAGTGATAATGTAATTATTAGTATCCCACATATAGTGAGACAGCCATATAGTATTAATGTACTGATGATGTTTGTCTGACAGCACTGAGTTTCCTTTGAGACTATCAAGCTGATCTTCTTGTTATTTTTCCCCAAGTAATGCTTGTGAATTATGATAGTACCTTAGTCATCTGGAAAATTATGGTTGGGATGGTAACAATTCACATTTACAAATTTTTGGGGAAATAGTTAAAACCCTTTTGATGGCTTCTATGTTTATTTGGGTTGTAAGTTTACCAATATATTATAATTTGTCATTTAAAGGTACAAGATATCAGTAAAAGTAACCATAGTAACAGAACAGAGACTTCTGGTTTGTTGAAGCTGAAAGTTTATATATAAATTATCCAATGTACATTCAGTATCGAAAATGAAATATTATGAATTTGGGTTGTGGCGAATGTAATTTAACATATTTCAAGATATTAAATGAAACATGATAATTTCTGATTTCTAAATGGATGTTTATAGGGATTTATGATGATGAAGTGTCGCTTACATTTTTGATGTTACACAGTGAAACAAATAATGATACTTTGATAAAAGAGACACATGGTGAAACGTTTTTACAAAGTGTGTAATGATATTAACTTCAAACCTAATTACAGACAAATAGCAATACTTGGAATTTGTCAAAGCCTTGTCAACAATAGATTATTGGGTTCATATAGGGAAAAGGTTAGCATGGTTGTGACACATTTCTAAAGGTAGGATCAGAATCTAATTGGAATTTTTTTAAAAAATAATCTATAAGATTTTCTTAGTCAATTTCATCAGTGATAAGAAAATGATATCTGGATTCCTGGAAATGAAGAGGCCAAACTTACGATTAGCTAAAGCATGATATGTGGTCAATTGTTTTCTACATCATATTGTCATATGTTCAGTACAAGCGTGAAACTGTTTACCAAAACAATTTATCTTATAAAAAAAATAGTTAACAGCTCTACATGCAGATGTTATCCATACTTTGGAAGTAAAGACAGCATTAAAAAAGGCTTATATTAGATTGTATGGTATAATATCTGGTATATGTTTTGTTCAAAGTGAACTGTTACAGACGAAAGGTTTTACAATACGCCATGATCATGGCATGTAGTATTGCTACATCGTCATAGTAATAGTCATTGTGAGGACGTTGTTACCCCATTATTTGTACGAAACTAGAAAATGATTTGATAAAATATCAACAGAGATGTTCTTGATGATTACACCTCACAGACTACTAAATTCACAAATAAAAATGTCACAGGGTAAAATTTCATTTTTAGTACCGTTTAAAGAACTGTACAAAAGACAAATGGGAGGGTCACGTTTCCATACACTGAAAGATACAGTAGAGTCTAATCATAAACGGCTTCATACAGCTGTTTTGTCCTTCAAGGACTCGTCAGTGAAAACAGTACCTAAAGGTTTGGAATTTATACAGAAGTGAACAACACAAACTTAGAATTAGATACAGTGGAGACAAATTGCATCATTCTTTCAAGCACTCTTCAGTGATTAACTTTAGAAGGCGAACCCCAAAATTCATTAAAATTTGTAATTTCAATTTTGACCGGTTTCACAAGAATCGTGTCACTATTTGAATGAATAAAAAACGTGGCATGCAGGATATTTTTGGGACTAAATGCCAGCAGTGTCTGCCACCTGCAATCACAAAGATACAAAAGGCACACATCTGAATCACAACCTCGTAGAAACAAGTGAATTACAACACAGGAAGTGAGGGAAGAAAATGATATCTATTACAGGGTTATAATTTACGATTCCGTGTTAATAAGGAAGTCTTATCGCGACTGCTTAAGGTTCATAAGTCAAATCTTTTTCATTCTGAGGATTGACCGTGCGCTGAAAAACAAGCATTTTCAAATCGTTGAGGAAATAATGCGGCTGGAAGCAATGCATGGATTATTTGTTGCGATTTCAGAAAATGAAAAAAATGGAGGATCATATTATAAAAAAAAACTTGGAACTTAAGGGAGTTAGATTACAGTTTTGAGGGATCCAGGTTTTATTCCTTTCAATAAAAAAATGAATAGCGCCTTTTGAACAAAATCATAAGTTCACATCAAAATGGCATGAATTGTGGACGATACCATAGAAGAAGAAAATAATGATTTATTTGTTAACCTGTGTGGACTCAAATGATGCATTGAATCGCCTACATTTCGATATTAAGATATAGACACAATAGCATAATCTAAAGAAATATTTTCGACATTTCACTCTCCATCAACATTTTGGAATGGATATTTTATTTGTGTATTGTTTTCTCTTCGACTTGAATCACGGTCGGTAAATATTTTGTAAATCTTCGTGGCATTCATTTTGGTATTTGCGACAAATGAGGATTTGTAATATTGTACATATATGGTATACTGCAGATTTGGCTGTCATATTTCGCATACAAGAATCTCCGAATATTGTCCAAGACTGTTAAATCTAGGTCTGTTCGACTATACGGAAAATGTTCCCGGAATTCGAAGGTAAGAGCAATGGACACAATTTCGACGGTTTCCCCAACACTGATAAACCTGGTAAACGAATACACCGTCCGCGTTTTGACATTTCAGGAGTGCTTCGTACCAAGGCAGTCAAACAGTGGGACGATTTGTGTTCCCAGAAAATCTGCATAGAAACGAAATATTAACCATTTACTAGCGAAACGGTCATGTTAATGCGACGATTTTGTTGCGCACAATTCGAGTCGTTCCGATCTTGACTCCAAGTAGATTTCCAGGATGGAACAGTCAGTCGATAGTGGTATATTCGCCAGGAAGTCGTCGTATTTCGAAATAACCGAGTAGCGCATGCACAATCAAGTCCTCGTGACCTTGATGATGTTAAGCCTTCTATCGGATGAAACGACAACTGTTACGACACTTAACGGAGCTGGATGACTTAAGTCCGACCTTACAACAAAAGCTAGTTGACTACTCGTATACCAGAAACAATACTATTGGCATCAAAACATGTCCACATCTAACACCATACTCTTGTCAGATAAATCTGATGTTTTTACCTTTCTTAGATCGGGTGTGAATTCTACACAAAATCGGACCCCCTACAGCACCCTGATTTGAAATCCTTGTCTGGTTTGCTGTGTCTTGTTCGGACTTTCTACATGGATACTTTGCGTCTGGCTGATGGTTTTATTATACATGAGTTTTGTTCTGTAGAGCTCCTTATACCGTTTTAGTATTTATCCATATTTGGTTAAGCGTCACTTGTCCGGTTACATACTCTGCAACGTTTATCTCAAGCGCCTCTGTTTCGCCCTTGTTTTCTGTAAGGAATCGTTTTGGAATTTTTAGTTCTGATGTTTGTCCTTTGAAGTTTTTTTTAGACTCGAAATATATGTTTTCTTGGAAACAGATGTTGTGTGTTTATTATTTTCGCGTCTTCTTTATGATACTATAATGATGCTGCGTGAGAAACGATTGGACAATGATGACCTGCTTCAAGATTGTATTCAGTACTTTACTTAAACACCTGTGGAATTGTATTTCATACTTCACTGTTAAGTATGCATTTCGTTATCAAAAGATGTGTGTGGCAGGAACAGGGGGGGGGGTCACTATTCCGTTGTCTAGTCTTAATATCACTTTATGTGTTCGTAAAGATACAATGTGTTTTAAGTCTTGATCACGTTTTCCTTGTCTTAATAATGTACGCGGAAAAAGTCTTTCTTTTCATTCAAACGTCTAGTTTTCGGTCAATCGCATTGCAATATCATACATTTTTTGTTATAAAATCGACATCGATGACGCCAGAGATCGCGAATTTGTCGAAGATCGAAGTTCTAATACTTAATTTCGATTCAGATTGGTTCTCTTCAATCAGGAAGACTGTGGATACTTCTTCTGAAAGGTAGATAATTCAAATGGTCTTACACTTATAAGACATCGATAATTTAGGCGTGGTATAGGGTATTCAGATGGTACAATAGATAACTGTGTTATCATTGTCGACAACAAGGCGTGGCAAGCGGGCACGCCCAAGAAAAGGAAATTCCACAAGCTGTGACAACATAGTCTTTGATTTATTTCAAACGAAGCAAAATGTCAAAGCGCTTCCGCATATCCAGAAATAGGGACTGACTCAGAGTCAGTTTGTTACATGCTATAAACAAATAAAAATCTCATAAAAGGGGACTGTAATTTAGACCAATGTACGTGTTTTCGTAGAGTCATATAAAACAGGTGTCTGCAA